TTTTTGGTTTTGCTATTAAACACTTGTGAATCAGAAACCCTTGATTTACCACAAATCATTCACTTCACATCTGTATCATTTAAAGCTGTATTCACCAAGTAACAGAAATGCTTGGGTGAACCAACACACTAAGGAAGAGAGGTTAACTTCTTTTGCAAATGTCTCAGGAAAGCGATTACTCCTGAGGAAGAGCTGCATGGGTGGCTTTGGTGGTATGAAAGCAGCAGTGAATTTTTCCCTTCATGAAGATGACAGAATATTCTAGAAAACCATAGCAGTTGGCATGAGCTTAAGTCAGGGGTCTCAAACTCGCAGCCCGCGGGCCAATTGCCGGAATGGGCAGGGCACAGGGGAGGGGCCCTGCGGCCTTCAAAGCGCAGGGGCGCCCGGGCCGGCCTCTGGGAGCGACGCGGGATGAGCGGCCCACCACCACCGCGGTGGTGGAATACTTGATGTGGCCCAGCCTCACCCAGACTCTACTTCCAGCGGCCCCCAGGTAAGTTGAGTTAAGCCACTGGCTTAAGTGGACTCTGGGGGATGGTGGAGGACAGGAAGGCCTGGAGGAATGTTGTCCATGGGGTCGCGATGAGTCGGACATGACGTTACGACTAACAACAACAAATTAACCATGATGGCTAAATAGAACCAGCCAGTGGCAGAGTGCTTTTGATGAATATGGTAGAGAGCCATCCATTTTCCAGAATCATCTGGTTGGCCATGAAATCAAATTTGTAGGTGTGAGCCCTGTGGAGGAGGGTGGGGATAAAATTCTTGCATTGCATCAGGTATCTTTATTCAGCTCTTTTCATTGGAATGCCAACTCTTAAGGAGAGGTTTCTTCTGCTAATATCAAGTTGTTTTTCAGTCACCAAATTAAAAGTTACTTTGTTTGCCCAACATTTAGAAATGAATGCAACTGCTTGTTGTGCAAGGTTTTATGCCAAGTACTTGTAAGAGCTGATCAGCTCCAAGAGTGTCCAAAGAGTCTTGATCGTTATGAGGAAAGACCTCCACACAGTACACAGGCAGAATTCAGGAGTATGTCACTTCACATTGTGGACAAGACGCATTGTATTTTTAAGGCCCCACCTCTGCCCACAAGTTAATCACACACATCCACACTGCATAAAGTCAACTAGAGCAGGGAGACATTTCCTTTCATCCCAATAAGCTTGCTTAGTGCATAAGTTGTATGTTTTTTTTAAATATAGCAGAATGGTTTATTTAGAATATGTCTTCATCTTACCTTTCCACAGAGTATGTTCAGGCAGCAGCTTATAATCAAAGCATAGTCCTATTGATTATTAATAAATATAACAGAAAGGCGGGAAATAGTAACAGATTATGATGTTAGTGATCAACACCTTGGAAAATACAAGGCTTTCCCCACTGCACAAATGATTAAAGTGCCCATATTTCTGGGGAGGGCTGCCAGAATAGGGACAATGTCACAAAAGAGACTGTCCCTGCCTGATACCTGCTTAATTCCTGAAGTTCCCAGCAGGGCCTCGGGTGATCTTAGCCAGGGAGGTGCAATGTATGGCCTTCTAGATGTTGTCAGTCTGCATCTGCCAGTATCCCTCACCATTCATGTGGTTGGCTGGAGAGTTGCAGTCTACCAGCCTCTGGAAGGCCACACATTCCTCCCACCTGATCTTAGTGCAGAGGCAAATTTATCCAAGAGAAGGCAGATCTTCAGATAACCTGAATCATGGCAGTTTAGAGCATTATAGGCCAAAGATAGCACTTCGAACAGATTGGCAGCCAGTGCAAATGTTTTAACATGATGTAGGGCAAAAGAACTGGAGGCCACAACTTTCATTGGTGCTGGTCAGCATAGCCAATGGTGAGAGAGCACAGGAGTAGCTCATGCCTCTTAACAACACCAGAATAGGTTTAGGATGCCTACGCCCAAGTGATCATCTTATCTGGCATGCATTCTTGTAACATACTTTGGGCATGACCAGTGTGGAGAACTACAGCAGAGGCATCTCTGTGCAATAGGTGGGCCTGACACATGAGAGTTAATGAGACACTTCATGGCATGAATCCCACTTAGGTGTTCGTAGCCAAGGCTGGAGTTAAACCCCTCCTGCGCCTACTGTGACAGAGTCTACTAACTCCTCTTGCATAATATGACTCCTGACCACAATTGCTACAATTTCCCTTTCCATTGTAATGTTTATGGAATGGGATCATTGGATTGCTCAAATGAAATGCATTGTAACATTAAGTGAAACATCGTGCCACTTTCAATCTTTTTTTAGAGATCTCTTCCCACTTCAGTTAAAGAGTAATACTGTTTTTAACGTAAGGGGTTGGAGAATTGCAGTATTATCTCATCCTCAGAATCTGTTTATTGTGTTTTAATGGGGGAAGTAAACTACCTTGCACTCTTGTATTTGTTGAGGACTCCCTGTAAATTAAAAGCATGAGGAAATATCTAGAATCAGTGATCAGCAGTCTTCTGAAGTGAGGCTAGGTCTGTGTTCTCTTCCTGAGGGAAGAATTCCAGCAAGGATACCTCTTACATTTACCCTTTGGCCCATTTTTAAACACAGCATCGCCTTTCTTTTTTGTGAGCTCTTTCAGCCTAGGAATGGTCACCACCAAGGAGTTTTCCAACACAAATTTTCCATTTAGAATGTTCATGTTTTCAGCTGAATGTTTCACTTTTGCTGCAGAATTATTTCCAGTCTCCAGCCTTGCATATAACTGAAGGTTACTAGCTAACTTGCCCAGACACATTGCTATGTCGTCATCATCTTTTGTCACACTGACGGTTTGAAGAAAGAGCCAGCTCTTTCTCTGCTTGCTGACCAAGAGGTGGTTCTTACTCCACGCAAGTACCTAGTTACACTAATTTATCCCATTAGTACCCCATGGTCCTAAGGAGCTCAGGGTAGCTTATATTGGGGTTATCCTATTTCATCACAATAGTAATGAGGAAGGGTTTAAGCTAAGAGATAGCAACTAGCCCAGGACTACTTTGGGCTTCAAGGCAAACTCCATGGTCTGTGCGACAAGGCATCCATTATGCCACACTGTTTTAAGTGAATATGTGAGCGGGGAAACTGGGTGTCGATTCCCCTATTCCTGTGGCTAGAAAGGATGACATATTTCACCAGTGTTAATATGAGCTATTGTCTTCCCACACATCATAACAAAAAGGAAGCAGAGCAACACTGATTAGAGTTCAGATTGCACAAAATGAAATTACAGATGTGCATGAGTTTTGTGCATCACAGAAGCTTACATTCTCCTTCACCAATGCTTTTTTCTCCATAGCCAGTTCTGGAACAGCATCTCCCTCCCCCAGAAAAAAAAGTTCCTTTTCTGTTTTACTATATTGAATTTCACACTTTGTTGAAAGACACAAATAGAGAAACAGCTGCAAATATCTAAGTAAACAAAGCCTTTTAAAAAAAGTCCCAGGAATAAACCTATGGAGAAAACAAGTATTATCAGACCTCCTTTAACTTGGAAATGAGCAAGCTTTGGAGTTACTCAAAACTGTGACTAAGTAGAACTCTAGAACCAGAAGGTGAGCTTAAGTGTTTTCACTTTATGTACACTTCGCCTCTTGTTAGTACTAAAACTCAGGGGTTTGCAGCTGAAGTAATTAACTTGGGATTCTAAAAAGCCAACAGCTTGTACTTGTATGAGGTTTGACATTAATTTGGTCAAACCCCTTGCCCACACAATGACCTTCTTACAGATAAGGTTGATTCCCTTGAGCCAAAATGTAGTGTTCCATTCCAGATGTGCCTTCCAAATTCAATGTGAAAATGTAGCAGAGCTTTTTCTGGTAACAGCTGCAGCCCCTGTCCTTTATGTTTTTGCTTTTATGCCCTTCTCTGTCTTTCTATGACAGGAATGGCCAGCTGGAGGCCCCCTGTCCACAGCTGGTTGCCCCAAGAGACCAAAGGCCTGCTCCTACTCTCCCAAGCCTCGATGATTCCCTTCATCTTTCCAGAACTTTCCAGTACCACAAAGGGCCTACATCTTGCCATGCCTATTCTGCAAGAGATCCCCAGGCATCTCGCTGTATACTCGTTGCCAGCAACACTGCAGTATGAAGCTGAGTCCCACCTTTGCTTACTCTGATTATGCTGTCTAGGGTTGGTGGAAGTTGCATCTAGGGTGCCATTTTCTGTCCATGATTTTGGATCCCCTTCCTGTATTTGCAGTAAGAGCTGCAGTCAGGCCAGAAACAAAGAGTGCGTCCACAAGGGTGTAAATTACCCAGATGGCTCAAGTGAGCCAAATTACACAAGAAGATGAAAAACAGCAAGCGTGAGGACACGTGCACACACCCCAGTCCATGAAGCAATTTGGCTGTTGGGGAAAATACTTCCGTCATTTAATATGGAATGCAAACAAAACCCTTCCATCAGAAAATTGTCCCCAGCCAAGTCAATGCCCCATTTTTATTTTTAGGGTCTCTGTAAGAGAAAGGGCATGCTAACTATTTCCATCCAAGCATATAACTGCTCTTAAAACTACAGAGTATTTATGCAGAAATACTCTGCAATATTATTAAAATACTTTTACAGCAGATAGAAAATGGAGTTCGCCAAGATGGGTCTTTGGAAGCCTCTTACCATACTGCATTGGGCAACTCACACTTCTCCAACCTATGATTCTCCAAATGTAAAGGTGGAAGCAGAGCCTTGCCACACTGGTTTGTTGCAAGGCCAGACATAATAGGAAGTAGTTACTTCTGATAGCATGTATACAAAAAATGCCCTGATTTTAAGCTTGAGGCCAATTAAGAACATTCTAATGAACAGAAGCATTAAACCAATGTTTCCAATATGGGAAGTAAACACAATGCAATATTGGCTTAGAACTGTCTCTCCCTCTAGAGTCATTTTTCCATTAAGCTGTTTTTTAGAAACAGAATCCAAATGTCACCTGGAAAAATTATTCATAATATTCTCCATCAAGAGAAAATATTTTGAATTATTTTTCTAGAAACCACACCAGAATCATGACACTGACATGACCTTATGTTTATTAGAACTCTTAGCATGAATCTGTATATCCTTGTTTCAGAATGTGACTGTTTTACATCATCTTTTGTCACTTTTCCCATCCCCCACCCAGCTAGTCTCTCCATTAGAAGAAACACAAAATACAAGTTTTAACAAGTACTTTAAAAAAGTTCTCCCAATGCAAGAAATTTTGTTTTTTTAAAAAAGCACCCCAGTCAAAGACCCTTGATTACATATAATTAAAAAAAGAGCACACACTATGTTAGAGCTATCTTCAAAAACAATATGAGATTTTGTATTTATTCCGATTAAATCACCAAAAAGAAAAAGGTCCATTTCTTTTATATACACACTCACAATATAGATATGGCATCTTGCATTCTTATCTTGGAAAGGATTTCTGTCCCATTCCACTTAAGTCCTCAGAAAATCCTTCCATCTCACTCTCCCAGTTTGGAGAGAGGCTTCTCCTGTTGTCTGCAGAGTTCATTCTCTTTCAAAAGTTTTTGATTCTCAGCTCTCAACCTGTCCAGTTCCTGCTGTAACTGACTTACCCGGGGGTCCTCCACTGAGTCCCCTGTAAATTTCTTGTTCTCCATTCTCAGGTGATTGTTTTCATCCTCCATTCTAGAGAGACACTTCTCTAACTCAAGGTACTCCTTGATCAACTCCTGCTTGCTCATGTTCTGCAGACTTTCTACATGATACCTCTCGTAAGTCTCTGAGAAGTCCTTCTGGAGGAACTCGCTGCCATCCCCTCCCATCCCATCACTGCCACCATCCTCCTCTTCCACAAAGTCATCCTCGCTAGTGTCATCTGATTTGGTGGCAGACCTTTTAGGGTAGAGGCCAGTTTTCAAGTCTGGCTCTTCTTGGTCATGGTCCTCCATCAAAAACTGTGTGGTGTTGTATGGTGCAACTGGCTGCCCCTTGGCAAACATCTCCGCCCGCAGCCTTGAGGCACGCTGACTCTGCTTCTCATCAAACTTCTTTTTCTCTTCCCAACTGAGCTTGTAGTAAGGCTTCCAATGCCTTTTCTTCTTGGAAGGGCGCCTCCTGTGTTTCTTTTTGCCCAGCTGCTTTTCTTCCTCTCCTCCAGCTTGAGGCCTGCACCTCTGGCCAACAGGTGCACAGTTTCCTTGACATCGTCGGTTCAGTTGCTGTCCATCACCTGCATTCTGGAGCTCTGTCTCTCCACCACAATTCTGGTCCTCAGCCTTTCCAATAGCTCCTTCCGGAACACCAAAGTTATGTCCTCCACCAACCAGAGAAGTTGCACATCCCGCACCAGGGCAGGTATCATCTTCACTCATTGGGCTGTCAGCTTGCTGCTTCGCTTCACTTGGTTGCCACCTACCATCCATCTCTTCTCCTTGGAGCTGGTCCTGATTTGTGGATGGAGTCATGTGAATAGGCCCCCCTCCACCACTTCCTGCATCCATACAGGGGGAAAGGGGAGACGTTTTGCCATTAGGCTGCTGATTGGCAGAGAGGGCACCATCGGCCATTGCTGGTTTGACTGACAGCTTCCTCTGACAAGATTTAATCTGTGGTTATTTAAGTCCAAGGGGCTGGCTCCCTTTTTGCCTTCAGGAGTGAAAGTCTCACCAACCTGCAACACCTTTAACCTTTTAAATCCGGCAGATATTGCAGTGCTTGCCAGCTCTGGATGTTCTCTAGACCTTAACGTCTTTAATTCTTCAGGCACTAGTCTTCAATTCTACCCCCCCTTACAGTTCTTTTGCTACTTTTAATCCTAAAACAAGTTAGCAGGGTGTTTGTTCCATTAGCCTTTGCTGCCACCCTCAGTGTCCGGGAGCACTGCCACCATTAGCCCTTGCAGAAGGAGGAACTCAACAGCTGTCTGTCATCCAATGACCTTTACACTTGCATTAGCCCTCAGCGCTGGCCAGGGTCAGTCTGTTTCTTCTCCTCTTCACAGCATGGCAACTTTGCACATCTGGAAATGCAAAATGATGGGGGGGGAGGAAGATATTAAAGTTGATGCAGGAGTCAAAACAATAGTCTCTATACTTCCCCAAAAGCAACTTGCAGAATTATTACTGTATACAAGTAAAATATATTTATGTAGGTAATACCCAGTTTAGATGGCCACTGAATTATTAAACAGCGAGCAGCCTCACTCCAGAGCAGACTACAAAGAGTTAAACTGTCCAGATGCAGACACCCAAGGGTTAAAGCTGCTCTAGTTCGAGCCCCGACGAGTCAAAGGCAGTCCCCGTGCCAAGGGGTGTGGACGTGCAAAGGTTTTCCTTCCTCTCACCAGCACAGGCTGCAATAATCAGGTGGTGAGAATATATTTTTTCGGCCCCCACTTCAGCGGATAAAAAACCCTTCTCGGTCCAGCCTCGAACGGGTTAAAATGATCTCCACCCCAGACCGCAAAGAGTTAACCCCAGGCAGGGACTGGTTAACTTCTCCGAGCACACCCAACGTTCGAATACCCACCCCCAGCAGTTAGTCCCACCCTTTCTCCAACCTCTTTCCTCCTTCGCTCAGGCACCTCCTGTTCTCAACTGCTACTGTCAGCTCGCTACCTCGCCTTATATAACCGAGCCAGCCCCCACATCACAGTGCGCAGCCGCTCTACAGCTCTCTTGTCCCAAGCTATTCCGGGATTTGTGGTTTCTCTCTCCGATCGATTGCCCAGCGTGCGCCTGACACAATGACTACGATTCCCAGAATGGCGGCGGGGTTGTGCTCCTTAACCAATCAACTTTCAGTTACGGTTGGACGAAGAACGAGACGCTTTCTGATAGGTCACCTTAACATCTAAGGCGTGAATAGCTATAGTGGTTGTCTTTCATTTGTAGTTCAGCCAATGAAAGGAGAGTAGTAGGAAGCGATAGGAGAGGTGGGAACTGGAGCGTACCATCAGTTCAGGCTGGTATTGAAATCTCCAGTGGGTGTCGAATAACTCCTAGAACTCTTCATAGATCACATATTAAGACGGAAATTGCTTCATGTTCTCTAAATCTCATCATGAAGCTGCAGAAAAATGGCCCGGAGATTCTACCCGCCAGAGAAAAAATGGTAGCACCCAAAAAAGTAGTTCCGACGTGAGTCGGAAAATCAAGAGGGTTCCGTAACCGTTCACTCGTTTAGGACCGCAGAATTTCATCAACACCTCGCATATTTGTGAGTAGGAGGAATGTCATCCGGCGGCGAAAAAGATCTGGTTGGGAGATTCCGGTAGGAAGGGCAGCGGAAGGACACTAGCAATTGTGTAAAGTGACAACTGTGTTAACCTATGATGGTGACTGTTCCGCGAAGAGGGAGTTGTAAACAAACCGGTTAGAAATTAGTTCCGTCTTAAAGGTACAAAGTGAGCAGCCTCCTAAATCTAATGATGTAATTGGAAGCCTTGGAAGGGGATTGTGGACTAGTGATTAAGGACTGAATGCCTGGAGTCTTGTTTGACTTTGTTGCTTCCTCTAGGGAAGAGATATGTGAGTTGCAATGGATTAGAGTACTCCTGGCTTCTATTTCTGGTTGTTAGGAGAAAGTGTGTGGAGGACCGAAAATCAATGGCCAGTAGCTAAATTCTAGGCAGATGCAGCACTTCAGATGTTTAGGAATAGGCTAAAGTCACCCCGTGAGGAAGCAAATGTACTTTGTACATGCTCAGAGAGCCTTTCCTTCCCAGCACCTGCTCCAAATCCTGTGGGGCCTTCCCATGAAACTATAGTATTGCAACTCTGGAAAACGACAGGGGCCATATTAATGACTGAGCAAAGGCTGGAAGGTCAGCAACGCTACTGCTTCCATTCCTTGCACAAGCTGCTAAGATGCAGGCCAAGGCTCCCGCAACCCGCTTTCCCACACTGTGGCCAGAAAGGATACCTAATCCCAAAATGGCCTTCCTTTAAATGCCTCAGTTGATGAGGCAGATCCTTGGCCCCTGCGGCCCCTCTTGTCCGCCACTGGCGACAGCTCGCCAGGGGGTCACGCAGGACGCTTCCCCAGCCGGGGCTGGAAGCGCTGGGGGCTGCGCACGAGCCCTTCGGCATGCAGAGCGTGCGCTCTCCTCCCGCGCTATGGCCCCTCCCCTGCCTGCTGGCTGGCGCTGCCCAGCGCCTTGCGTTGCCCGCGGGAGCGAGCTGCGGAGCGGCGCAGCGGCGGTGGGCTTGCCGCTGAGCCCTCCGCCTGCGTCTTACCTTGGGAGCAAGCGGGCGAGGTGTTTACTCGTAGTGTCTAGAAGACCTGTCCTTGAGATCATAGCCTGTACTGGGGGCTAGACTGACTCCCAGCTATTCCCTCTTCTCTCCTAAGCTGATGAATTCATGCACGGAGACGATGAAATAAACCGAAATGGCAGTGTTTATGAGTATATGTTTATCACTTTACTGACTGCATATTAAAGTCAATCATATAAGAATTCATTTTCCATGATAAGGAAGCAAGGATTATTTGTTTAATGTTATGGCTGAACTTCATTGGGCAGTTCAGTGAACCCTGTCTTGCTATCTATTTTACATCCTGATTAGCGAGTTTGATCAGTTTTACTGCTATTAAACTTTTCTTTCTAGTGCAATAGTTTTCCTGAGAGAATTGTGAAATACAATACACATTTTTAAAAAATGGAGCAACATAAAATTTTGTACAGGCAAAAGTGCACTTACGTTGCAAACATATATAGTCAGGGTTCCACTTAACATTAATACTTTTTAAAACTATAGAACTGAAGTATAGGAACTAGGGTCCTGTAAGGCCCAGGAAACAAACTAAGAAATTAGATTCAGCACAATTTATCTTAAGTATACTTGTGAAGGAGCCGGTTCCATTCTTTTTCGATTTAAAAGTTCAGATTTTTCAAGGCATATCTTAATTAGTTTACAGAAAAACAGATTTTGCACATCACTTTAAACATAGCTAGTAACATTCTTGCCAGAAAGACAGCTTCTACAAACTCACTAAAGATTCCCAGAAGAAAGGTGGAGGCAGAAAATAAAAGTTTTAAGACAGTGCTCAGCTTAGGAAAATAAAACACCCTAATGCCTGTATGTTACACATGGAGAAACTAAGGTTGAGGACTTGCCCAAAGCCATGCAGAAGTGATTCCGAAATCCTGGTCAGATTACAAGTCAGTTTTATTGGATGACTCAGAGTGAACCGAACAGTGATCCACCAACTCTTGAGTAAGCCAAAGGATGTTAATAATTTAATAGTATTCATGTCTCCTCAGAAGTAAGTCCACTTGAAATCAACTGGCTGACATGTAAATTGATATAAGATTGCTGCCTATAAAGAGCAAGGTCAGTAAGAAACCTGATGTTCCCTTGGAAAGAACTCTGACTTCAGTGGGACTTGCTAGTGTGTTTAGAATTACAGCCTAAAATTTGTAATACTGTGTTTGCTGGAAGAAGTTATTCTATTTTGTGGAATATAATAGCATGAAATAGATAAATAATCCAATTTTAGATTCAAAGCATATACCATTTCCAATTTCTTGCTGGCCCTACAAAAAACAGAGGGGTGGGTCAGGTATTTAGATCCAAGTCACTTTCTGTAAAATGGGATACAGGTGACCAACCTCCTAAAAATGGCATGAGAACTGCTACAGTAAGATACAGTAAGAATGTTAATACTTGGTGGAAGTTAACAATTTTCTTTTAGTTGCAAAATGCTAGAATTTGCTGTCTAAGTTTTTCTCCCGCATAGTTGTAACATAAAATCCATCCTTTTCGCTTTTTAAAGAGGCAGCTCTTGCTTTCTAGAAGTGTTCCAAGCAAACTCTGTTTTGGTATTTTTGAATGTCTTGCTGGCTGCTCCCTGAAGTTTGGCTTCACTCTTGTTTGGACAGGCTGCTCCCTCTTTGGAAGAGGAGGGAATGCAAACTGGCAGCTAAATTCCATTCCAGGATCCTTGCAACCATGCCCCAGGCAAGACTGCCAGTTTCTTCCTCTTGATGACACATGTAGAGAACTTTCAATCATGGAAATGAAGACAGGGTCTTCATTTAGAGGGCATCCCTTCATTTAGACGGGCATCTCATGAACTGCACCAGTCTTCTCTTGTGCCTTTAAGAAGAGGTTGCTGTGCAGGAAGCAGCTGGGAAGCTTTTCACAGCAGGGTGATGACAGTATAATGTGCTAATCAAACAGCTCTTAGCAGGCACAGCTACAGCAGTTGTCCAGTTGTGCAAATTGTTGGGCAACCCTAATTTCCACTGGATTCGTTCATGCACACCCAGCTATAAGCAACAGCACAAGTGGAATCCAGCACATGGCCCAGTCAGAGGATGTAAAATTATGTAATGAATGATTAACTTGGATCTCCATGTAGCAAGCTTGTTTTGTGGATATCTGGGTACTTCTGTTGTGCTTGTGCTTCACTGAGGCAGGGTATTGTATGGAACAGGCATCTACTTAGAATTGTAGTGTGACTGAAAAGTCACTGCTATCACTCTTAAATCTCAGAAAGACCCTTTGTACGCTTCAGTTCCACATATATCCATGTCAAGTCTGATCTGAAATTCACTTTTGGGTCTACCATGGGTAATGATCAAGAGATTGCAGGATGAGGCTACACACATTTGCATAGCTTATTTGTTTAGAACTTTTATTTATCCCATCCTTCCTCCAGAGGTCAGAGGGTAATTCATTTTGGGGATACACACACTTTTTATCCTTGTGACTCCAAGACACTGTTTCAGCAGAGTGTGACTGACCAAGGGCTACCCAGTGAGTTCTCTGTGGCATTGTGAACTCTGTGCCAGTGTTGTAACTACACCTTGCTGTCTCTGCTGGACTCACCCTTGCATTCTGTGCAGTAAAGCTAGCTAGCAGAAATCTGGCTTAATATAAGAGAGAGATGTTAAATGTTTAACTTTCCTGAGACATGGATTTCTAGAGGTTTAGCCTCCACCTCATGGGTGTCTCGGTGTAATTCATTACTTAACTCTCTTCCCTTTTGTGTGGAAAACTGAAATGCTACATTTAGTCATACTTAGAGTAGACCCATGGAAAGTTGGTGTCTTAATTATGCCAAGCCAGATTTCTGCTGGCTTACTTTGTCCTGACTAACATAAATCTTATGAGTATCAGTGGAACAACCCTAAGTATGACTAAGCCTAGATGCATCCCACTGTTAATAATGAGGCCAAGGTTGACCTCCACTTTCTTAAGGAAGAAGGCCTGCCCATACTGAGAGATGTGTATGTATATAGACAGGTGCATTCCCTTGTGGGGATACATATGTATGAAAGGCCCTCAAGAAACTCTGATCTCACCAGCAGTGCCATCAATATATGGGCCCTCCACCCATACTATGTGGCATGCCTTAATCACTGACACTTCGCCTGTTGAAAATAATACTGAATGACACAGAATTTCCCTAAAAGCCTTTTCATATTATGTGATTTTTTATGGTCTCATAAAATTAATATGAGACCATAAAAATTGAATGTTCCTTTTACTTTGTTGGCCAAAGCAAGGCAGCTTCCAAACCCAAAAAGTCCCCCCACCCACCCACCCAAAGTGGGGTTTGTGTGGGAGGTTGCTCTTTCTTGTGGTGTTTGCTTGCCCATATGTCCCTGCATTATCATCCTGTCTGATCATAGCACACCTGGGGCTAAGCAGGCTTGCTTTTTGCTTCCCCAGAAAGCAGGACAAAAGCTAAAGAGCTTAACTTACAAGCAGGTAGATATTGGTTGAACATGAGAGACTTAATTATATTAAGAACAGATGGTCAATGGCACCAATTGTGAGGATGGGGTAGCTCTTCCAGTAGAGGTTAGAAAACCACTGATTGCAGATACAGATCAAAAGCTGAAGTATCAAGCAGGTGGCAGGACTAGACTGTCTACAGCATGCCCTCCAAATCTAGAATTGTGCTGTTCACCTCAAGGGAGCTGGTGCAGAGCAAGATCTCCCTGAATGGGTACTGTCTGACTCCTCGAGGGGCAGGGGCATGTGGAAACCATCACCTTACTCCCAAGGGGTTGCCTCTTTTCTCTGTGATTTGGAATAACTAATTGGCTTACTTGCCTGCATCTTAAACACAGTAATTCATACAAAAATGAACAGATGCATAGGTGCAAATTTCTCTGCTAAAACATCTCAGCCGCTGCATCAGGGCAATGGGTTTGAGCTTATTCTTTGTTACATCACCTTTCCAGTTCATACACAACAAATAATCAGTGTGCAAACATTCCAAAACAACTTCTGAAACAGGCAAGAGAAGGATGAGGACTGCAGTTTCTTTATTAACATGAAGCTCTGCCACAGCTGGAAAGGGTTAGATACCCTGAGACCAAACAGCAATCTCGAAAATCCACCCCTTCTTTGGGAGATAAGGGATTTGCTGAGAAAAGGACCCCTTCCTAAATTATAGGCAAGGAAAGCCTGCCTGCCAACTCCACAACAGAGAGTCTTATAAAGTGATGGGAGACCTTGTTGTGAAGGCTTAATGTGGACTGGATTGTCTGAAGAAGCCTTGTTTCTGTTTTTCCTTGAATCCTTCTTCATGCTAACTGAAAGTACATTTGCCTCTCTCCTCTGTGTTTGGTATAAATCAAATCTAATTAAGCATCTTCCCTCCCCACTTCAGGACTACAGGACTGCAGTTAGGCAAAGATCAAGACATGCTGTGCCCTGATGGTAGAAATGTTGGCAGGAATCCAGTGTTTTAAACCTTCAGAACTTTCTAGCTCTTTCTTCATTTGTTTGAAAAATGCTGCTAGAAGACAGCTAGCAATTCACCTCTTCTGTCTCTGAAAACACCAAAGGAGCAACTGGGCAATGAAAGGCCATGTGAGCAAGAAAAACCAGGTAGGAGGAGACAGGTGTACAGGCCATCTGGGCAGTTCCTGTGGAACAAGAGAAGAATGTTACCTCATGCCGGTTCTCAACACTTCTACACTTCTCCAAGTGACTTACTTTATCTCCCAGTTTAGGTTTTATATAAAGGTGATCAAATAGGTGGAATTTATCAACTCAGACCTTGTTCATTGATTAAAATTTCCCTGCTGCTAAATGGGGGCTGATCACAAGCAAGGAATGATGGCAGAAACTTTTTTTTTACTAATGTCCAGACTCTTATCTATATAGGATGCAATCCTATGGACTGCACCATTGCTACTTTGAAGCCCCTACACTCAGTGGATTCCTATGTCCTGCAGCACTGAAGTCAGAAGGACAGAAGGCATGGTGGAAATTATCTTTGCCTCTTCATCCCCTGCTCCTTGATTTTTTTTGCTAGAGGAGCTTTTCAGCCTGACTAGTGAGGGTGCAACAGAGGGGGAAGGAAGGAGGCTCAGGATAAATTATATCCTCCCCTCCCCATGCAGTGGAAAGACCCCTTTCCCCATCTCTGAGAATGAATTTCTGACTTCAGAGAGGCAGCTAGTGCAGTACATTCTGTACTGGCTGGGAGAGAAGCCACAGTGGAGCACTGTACCTTTCCATCATGCAGTATGGTCAGTGGGCTAGGATTCAGCATTTCTCTATGGTCCTGAAAGACAGCAGCATCATGATAAGTATTTATGCAGGCTAGAAGCCTGTGCACTATTCCATCTTGTACTTTATTTTAAAAAGCTCTTTTGAAGATGCATATTATTGAATTATGTAAACATTTTAAATATGTAAGAATTGCATTCTTGGTTGTTTGCTCAAAGATTTACAACTCAACACTAATCAAATACACACCTTTCTCCCCAACACAGGTTTATTATCCTTGTTAAAAGGTCATCTTGTGAGATTGTCAACCTATTCACTAAGTGCACTATTTAATTTTGTTTCTATTTTTCCACTAGTCTTGTTTTGCACTTGCTTATTAAAAAAAAAAAAAACTTCTTAATGTCCTCCTGCCCCTTCTCACACCTTTTCCTTAGTGCTTATAGAGCTGGGCAGGGCAACCTGTGATCCTCCAGGTGGCTTGGCTGGGAGGGGAGGAGAAACTCCACCAACCCTTCCCAGCATAGCCAATGGTGAGGGATCATGAGAATTATAAGCCAAAACATCTGCAAGCCCAGAAATAGTTCATCCTTGATCTATTATGGGGTAAAGTGTGCCTTCACCCAGAATCTAGGAGAAAAGTATGTGCCAGCTATCAAAACACTGCTTTACCTGCTTTCTTGTTCTCCTCCTACAAACTGGTGAAACCCTTTTTTATATAATCATGGCTGTGGACAATTTCAGCTCACAGAGGTCACCTATCTGACTAGCAGAGGCTTGGGTTCCCTCTGTTCCAGGCTTCCACTCCCCAGTGCTACCTCCTCACCCACTGGCTCCTTGGCAAGGATGTGGGGATTTCTGGGTGGTGGTGGGGGGTACACTCATCCAGCCCTTGCAGAACTGATGCTTATGGGAGCTCGTGCAAGGAGCAGATGGCTAGGCTTCACTTGCCCTTTGCACTGGACTGTGCACTTGCCTAACATTTGCAGGAGCTTCTGCAAGCTCTGCCCAAGTGCCATGAGGCAAGTGAGAGGTTGGCTGCCCCAGGTGCAGGAGCCCTGCAGCTGGGGCACAGGCAGGGGTGAGCAGCCAGTCAGCTGGACAGGTGAGCAGGCAAGCTGGGAACTGAGCACGTGGGCAGTGGCGGCAGCAGCAGCGGCACTCCTGCCTTGCTGGAGGTGGCAAAATACGATGGGCTGGACTTGCTGCTGGGAAAGGCGGTTCTGTGTGTCCTCCATTCTCGTTAGCCCCGGCAGCTGGGTTGCTTTGGCTGGTGATTGGAGTCTCTGTTGGGATGCTGGTAGAAACCAAGGGCTTGGCCAGCATGAAGAAAAACAGCTGCTGAATGCTGAAAGGGTTGTGGTGTGCATGTGTGTGAGAGCGAGAGTGGGGGGGGGAGGAGAGGGGGAGAGAGAGATGACATCAGTAGGCATGGCTACCTCAACACTGGCCAGCCAACAAGCATCATGAAACTCTTCTGTACACCTACCATATGAGATAACAGGGAACCAGATAGCAAATCCTTGCAAGTTTTAATTGCTGTGAAGGTTTCTTCATTAACAAATGATCCCTGACCTTTTCCAGTAGAGAGACTGCTTTATGTTTTTGGGCTAGCAATTCAGGAGACAACACTATAGACTCCATCCTCTATGATCAGAAGCCCACAAAATTGGAGGCTTCAGATCATCCAGTGCAGGGCCTGAAGAAAGGCAATCTTTGCCTCCCTGTGCTCCCCTTGCCCTGTTTTCTTCCCCCCTCCCCTCCCATCTTTCGTTCTATTTCCCTTTCCTTTCCTTTTTATTTTTATTTTTTGGCTACATGAGCTTTTTGGCACATCTAGCAATGGCACTTGGGGGAGGGACAGAAGAAACCTCAGAGTAATTCATATCTCAGCCTCTTTCCACCCACCAGACTGTCCCCTGTTCTGACCGTAGAGGCCAGCAGGTGCAAGTGCCCAACCTACAACTCTCCATTCTGTGTCAGAATTCAGCCTCAGACCTTGGAGGGGAGATTCTCCAGCCTCCTGTGGCCCTTTAGACAGTGTCCAGGGACCACAGGATTGTTTCCTCAGCAACTTCCAGGGAAGCTTATTTTTATTTCACATATCACATTTTATGTCACCGTCCACAGTAGATACATAAGGTGACCAGCAGCAATAAAATCATCAGTTTGCAAGAGCGTACAATAAAATGTCACAACAAACATTTAAAATGAGAAGATGAAACTTTCATCAGCTGAACATGAAAACTGTGCAGAGAAGAGAGAATGATCATTTCAGAATGCCAAAGCCCTGCCAAAACAGAGATACTTTTGCATATTGGTCAAATATCAAAATGGGGGAGAAGGCACTTGGAAGTCACCCTCCTGCGTCCCCACCAAACACTTATCAGATGTTGATGCAACATATCTCCTGATGCCTCTTCTTGCCTGCTGTTGTACTCTTCCAGCACGCAAGAAGTCTTGCCTGGTAAGCAAGGAACTTCTGTTCTTGCGAAATCTCTATTAACTTTAGGACTGCATCCTAGTGGCTAACAATCCTAGGTGCAGCCCCAACTGATCAGCAGTTTGTAGCATGACATATTTTCCCTAGGAATGTACCTGCAAGGCTGCCCATGATTCCAGGTAGCTGAGTCTCTCCATCACTTCCTTCACATCCTGCTGCAAAGCCTGAATGGTGCTTGTCACCTGCAGATTCACTTCCTGTTGGATCAAGACATCTGCCAGGTTCTCACTGACAGCTTCAGGACTGTTGGTGCTCAGAACTGTCTCATCGGGGCTAGTCTGTGGGTCTGTGATGTAAGACAGAACCGAGAGATCAAATAGGCTTACAGCAGGAGGATTTCTTACACATGGCTAATAGGCTGTGAACCAAAAAGGGAACTAGAATTGTGGAAATGGAAATTAATATCTAAAAGGAGGGCTCCAAGACACAAATCTACCTGAAAATCACATCCACTCTAATTCTACATGTGCAAACTGTGGAAATGTGGCCATGAATGATTTTGGCAGCCAGTAAATGTCTCTCTGACTCTTCAGGGTTGGGGTTGGGGTTGGGGTTGGGGTTAGGCACTGCCACTGCTGCTCTTGATTTTAACCATTTTCTCATATCAAAGCCTCCCCCTCACCCACCGAATGCTGCATGGGCCCCACAAATAGCAGGGGGTTTCATTACATGAGAACTAATAGAAAGCAGTGCTTAAATATTAAGATGCAAGTAAGTGGAGCTGAAACTTGCCTGGAAATGACACCTGATTAAAGAAAAACCCTCATCTAAACCTCTGATGGGTGGGATAAACCAAACATTAGCTAAGCCCCTACTTTTCATGCAGACAATTCCAAGTGCATTTGCAGCTGTCAAATACAGAGGCACATGACCCTGGACAGCCACTGCCACTACTTGCCTGTTGGAACACCTTTATGTGCTCATCTTTATAGGGGCTAATTGTTCAGATCAGGAGATTTCCCACTACCCCCAAATTTCTTAATTCTTTTCCATTGGGAAATCAGGAATAATCCCACCAGGGTCAGGAGACTGGGTGGTGTAAGAATTGGGCCCCTTACCCCAACTCCTTTTTAAAGACTTCCTCACATTCAGGATCTGATGAGTCACCCTGTTCCCTGATTGTGCACAGGGGCTGGGTAAAAAGGTTCCCTAGAAAGTAGCATGTAACTTCTGGAAAAATGGGAGGAAGGATTACAGCAGGATAGGCAAAAGTCAAGGGATGGGGGGAGGGGGACAGCTGCCTTGTCTCCACAGGTGTGTTACTAATGAGCCTCTCTCAAGGCCAAGAGCCTGAACAGGCCAGAGGAGCAGTCCAGGAATGTAACAGGATGTTCCTGCGTGGGTGGAGGGAGGGGTGGGAGCACTCAGTGGAGCTTTCTGCAGTATCAGGCAATGCCTGCCCCACCGAGCCAGCCTCATCCTGAGGCAGGGTGCAGACTATGCCATCTGCCTCAGGCAACATATTATGGGCACTGAATGTAGGACAAGTTTCCTCAGAAAGCTGTTCCAGGCCACAAATTCACCAACTCCAGCCTCTTGCAGCAGCATGGTGAAGAAGTGCCTCCAGGATGGTGCAATAGGCTTGGGGCTAGGGCGTAAACAGTGCCACGTTATCCAGGACAGCAACTGAACTAGAAAAGCTCTCTGAAGACTGCATATGGTATATGTGCCCGTTACCATTTGGGGTGCAGTTCCTCTGCTGCTACACTGCTGTGAGTACAAGCACAAGAGCAGTTCAGTGAGAAGTGGATGAGGGCGAAAAAGGAGGAGGAAGCCAACCAGGGGTGAGGAAAAACAGAAACATCACCTTTTAACCATTTAGTCTTTTTGTCTTGGCCAGTCGCCCAGGCCCAAACTGATTGTTTACATTTTGTTCTTCTGAAGAGCAGCCATGGGGCAGGTCCACATTGGGACCTTAGCACTGGGAAATGGGATTTTAATCTTCTGCTACATGCTGATCTGAATCTCCCCCTACCCCTCCACCAACAGAGGTTCCCATTCAGGGTCCATGGTGGAGATGGTATGCTCATGGGTACTCTAGGCTAGCCCATGGGAAGGGCACAAGATAAAAGCCCTCTACACTACATTTCCAATCCTGATCCCAGGCTCCTATTTAGGAAAGGAACACAAGCACACTGGGCCTACCATGTGATTAATGGCAGGTCTACTTTGGCCTTCACACTTGTGTCAGAATGAGGCAATAAACTACATCACTACATTTTGAAAGTGCCTCCATGGTAACATAAATGCTGAAAGCTCCTGCATCAGTGGAAACGCTTCTAGCCCAGACTACTTGCTGCTGTTGTACTTGCAGGGAGCATTTTCTAAAACACAAGGGGGCATTCAGAAATACGATCCCCACGATCCCCACAACTCGCAGTCTGATGTTGCAGAGGCTGTTTTAACATCTCCTGTCCATTCCACCTCATTCTGATGCATGCGCAAACCAGGTCCAGGGTTGGCGATGGATCCTATTCATGCTCCCACACATAACGTTCTTCTGACATGTGGTAAACTTGGCAACTTTGGGGGGCCTGTGTGCACATCTGGCAATTGGGGTTGCTGTTCTGTGCATCATCACAAAGCAAGCATCGTACAGATGAAAGCAGTTCCAGCTTGTGGCCACCTCAGAATATGTGTGGCCTGGAGGTAGTTAGTAGAAAAGAACAGAGAAGCAGCCAGAGGACTGACTTTGCTTTGAAGCAAGCCCAGCTGCTACTCAGGTATTTTTGTTATTAAAAAATAAAAATGAATAATCTGTAGGGGAGTAAGGCACTTTGGTGGGCATTGAAATGGTGCACACCAGTGTCCACAGGTGCCATGCTGCTTATCCCTGCAGGAAGCTGTCACAACAGAGAGAAGACTATGAGAAATTTAACCCTCTGGTGTGCTGCCTTACTAAATGCAGAGGCATTTCCCTTCAAGTATATAATCACTGTAATATAGCAATTGTCCCTAGAACAGAATGTTGTATAGGCTCAGATTTCTACCATCTTACCTACCACCATGTTCTGTGTAATGGAAAGAAAATTGGAAAAAGGTTTCACAGATTTCTACAGTATCCCCACTCTCACACATCCTATCTGTCTTTTCCTGCCTATAATTCACAGTGCTTACCTCTTTTCTCAGAGTGTCACAGTCCTTGCATTTTCTGGCAGATCTGTCATTTTCCTTTTCTATTAAAATGTTTTCTACCAGACTTGGTCTCTCTCTTATCCCAGAATTAAACCAAATTCATTACAGAATTTTAATGTTATAATTTGCACAGGAGCTATGTCAGCAACACATGTCACAACAGCTAAAAGACCTGTTTCTGACCTGTCTCTTCTCTTGTGGAGCTCAGTTTTTTAAGGCACAATGCCTGTCTCACATCTGTGGTACCAGCTTTGTTCAGCTCTCCTTCCCTGGCTGTACACAGTGCATGAACTGAAGGCTTGTGCCCACTTTGCTCACCAGCCTGAATGCTGTGAGGTTTGCTCAGAGGAACGATTTGCTTGGCTGATACCCTCCTGGCCTGTGGGAGAAGAGAGAGCGAGTTAGTGTGCAAGAGCCAGGGCATGTGGAGACTACAGTGTGTAAGTTTCACAGTCCTTTAACCATTGGGAATCTTGGGGAGCTGTATTATGAGCGGACTGTTCAGCCAGATGTGTTGTCAACTCCCATAATCCCAGCTAGCTCTCTTTTCACAGAACCACCGCTCCAGCATTCCCCAAGGGAGTGCAAGTGTTATAGTTCTGAGATAGAAGTCATAAAACACTTTGAGGGCTGTCACAAACTATGGCAAGAGAAGGGAGTTTCAATAGGCAGGCAGGCAGAGCTGTCCTCATTTCTTGATAGGGCTGCAAAGTGCATTCTGGTTAACCAGCTTTGCTCAGGAAGAGCTGAAAAAGTAAAATCTGAACATGCTTCGTGCTCCTGTATTTTAAGACTAAAGCAAAGTCATTGTTTGTTTCTTACCTTCTGTAATTTTTGGTATGTTTTCAAATTTCATGTTGCTTAGTAAATGAATTCACATAATGTGAATTAACCTACCAAGGAGTAGAAATCTTATAAGGAACCCTGCTCCAGTCAAAGTGCTCAGATCTTGCAAATGCTGTCTTAAAAGACATCAATCAGTATGTTTCAGAAAGCCTTGTTGGGGACAATTGTTGCTGCAAATGTGACCTTAAATTTATGAATTAAAAAAGGAATCACTTTATAAAGCAGCCCTGTGATGTTGTCAGTTCAAGAGCTTTCAAATTCTTAATGTCAACAATCAAGAAGGCAATGTGTCACAAATCCATCCTTTTTTCCTTAGCAGATTTTCTGCAGTAAGGAAAGAGATGGAAGAGGCAGTGGGAAAAGACTACAAGTGCTCGACAAAGATGTCTGGACCTTGCATGAGTGAGGCAGGATGATGGTGCCATAAAAGCCTCATCTGGAAGCAACCTCAAATAAAAGAGTTGTAGTTAAGAGGGAGTCTTCAAGCTAGGATGCTGTGAAAGGAAGCCTGTTTTTGGTGCCCCACACTGCCAGCCTCTGTCCTCTAATCACCTGATCAGGAGCCACCTGTTCCAGGCTATCACAGAATATCTCACTCTCTGTATCACCAGTCATTTGGCTGTTCTCAGTAATGTTGTGGACTGGCTCTGCAATAGAAAAAATCACTGCTTAGATGTGGAGAACAATGGATGTAGACAGAAGAATGAGTGTGTACGTGGTAACTGGTAATGCCTGAAAGTTCAGATGCTGGGGATTCAGGTCCTTTACCTGGCTCAGGAGACTCCACCTCTGGCTCCCAGTACTTGGTGTTGTACGATAAAGATTAAAGCCAAGGACACAGGAAGCTGCCTTTTACGGGGCCGGAGCCCTGCCCCATTTAGCCCAATGCTGTGGACAGTGCCTGGAAGTGGCTTTCCTTCCTGGGTTTCAGACAGGGTTCTTTCCTAGCCCTGTGCAGAGATGCCAGGGGTTGGACCTGGGGCCTTCTGCAAGCCAAGCAGGGACTCCACCACGGAGCTGCTGTCCCTCGCAAGGCAGCCAGGGTATGTGCACTGGCACCCGTATCACTCAGATCATATTCCAAATGCACGCTAAAAGCAGAATCAAAGGAAGCACTTCTTCTTGCTTTAATGCTAACTATAGATTTAGCCTTCAAGAGCTGTGGAGCAACTCAGATTTAACAGCATTTTATCCGATTTACTAAAGAGAAGAAATGCAAGAGCCTTGTTTGAATCCCACTGCTCAGGTTATGCACAGCTCATTAAGAACCAAGAGTCAAGCTTCAATTAATCCATGAACTTGCTTAGAGATAAGCTTATCAGTTCTGGAGGCATCAGTGTCTAGCAGAGAAGGAAGCAACCGTTTCTTGCTCAGAATGAAGTCTTGTCAGGCTGTGTACAATGGAATCCCAAACCCTCACATCTCCTCCCAAGAAAACCCAGTGTTCTTGTCTCTGAGCAAGCGCAGATTCCCACTGAGAGCTCCCTTGCCTACGTATGTATCTCCCTCTGTTAAGTGGGGAGATGCATAGGAATCTCCCCACTTACAGAGAACAGCCAATCTCTCTCTTACTCTAGATATTTTGTCTCCAATTTCTACCAGATTTGACTGTATCAAGAAACAGGACACAGGAGAAGACTGCAGGCTTAGCTCTTACTGGCTGGAGTCACGAGGATGAGAGAGCAGCTTCATTCCCTTCTCACTGGTGTCCTCTGAATAGACTCCTCATTCTCTCCCATGTGTATGAATGTGACCATTACCCTTAACAGTATGGCAGAGTGCTATCCTTGGGCCACTGCTGTGGGGACAAAACCTGCCCTCCATCCCGGAGCACAGCTAGCCGCATTCTCAGTGGCAGGGACGCTGCAGCAGCCAGCAACTGCGTCTGCCTGTGCCACGTGAAGGCACGGAAGCCCCACCCAGCAATCAGTGCAAGATGAACATCCTCACTTCCAGAGAACATTTAAGAGCAAATGAAAACTGGGCATTTTCATTTAAGTATGAAAGCATCCTATTTAACATTTGGTGGCCACAAGGCAAACAATGACACCCAAACTGGCAGGACTGTTTTCAGATCTCAGGAATGACTGCACAATGCTAAGGGATCCTTCCCTGACACAGCCGCCACTTGGTGTCAAGGCTTACAACAGAAAAGAATCTCTCGTGTTCTCCCGGTGTGAAAGGCAGCAAAGGTGCTCTGGCAGCGCCTGCCCCTTCCTGTGTACTGTGGCTGCTCTTTACTGTTTGCATGAGCCGTGGCACATGGAGGAGGGTGCTCCTCAGGCAGGGATAAGTCCTGCAATTTAGGGCTAGTAATATAGCCCAGTGGGAAACCAGAGGTAAGGGCATCTTTCAGCATTTCCCAGGTGTCTACTATTCATGGCCCACTCTACATTAAAACTGGATGCTTCAATCCATGTTCTGAGGCTGAACATTTTTACTTTTAAATATGTACGAGTGTGCAGCCTCAGATACACCCGCCCTGTGTGCTTCTGAATAAGTGACTGCCTTGGCATGTGCCCCCCTCCCACCCTTGCCTGGGCATTTAATTCTGTTGTGTCTCTGCATCTGGAGTGACTGAATGATCCATTTATTACCAGCTGTGGCAGATTTGCCCACTCCCATGAAAAGCAGGGATGAAATGCTGTATGGAATTGTTCAAAGATGCAGCAAGCAGCATCCTTTGTAGATGGGTGAATACTCTGAGCTGATAGGAGCCTTTAGTTCGTTATTTCTCAGGCACCACTAGGAGTAGCACATGGTTTGGGAATTATTGGTCTCTTCTTTCAGCCCAACTACAGCTTCCTTGGCCACTGATAGTCAGGCTAGCCTTTGCACAGAAAGGTACAAACTATGATCAGGGACACGTGTAGGACAGGTAGCAGCAGAAACATGATAATGACACTGCTATACTCTGTGTGTGTGTGTGTGTGTGTGTGTGTGTGGTCTCTTAGGGCCTAATCTAGCAACTATCATTATTGACTGCAGTGGGGAGTGATGGGAAAGAAAGTTATTATGGACAAGAGCCTCTTCCACCCAGTCTTTTAATCATCCCTCCTCAATGAACAATGAACTTTTCAGCCTACAACCATGATCAACTTTCCACTGAAGAAAGGAACTGAAGTTCAAGAAAAATCCAGTGAGTGTGCATGGGAGGCTTTTCAGCTAAGCTGTAACCTACATTTGAGGATGCCTGCTGCACCAAGAACATGCTTTTCTTGGCTGTGTATACAAGAGCTAGGCAGGCAGAGCTGGCTTTGCTATGAAGCAAGGAGGCAGCCATCTCAGATGGCAGATTTGGGCTGCATTAAAAAGCTGCAGGTAGACAGTGCCAATGCACGTGGCACAAGTAACTAGGAAATTCTCTTGTACAAGAAAATTCTGCTGTTGAAATCAATAGAAGCCAGGCCCTGGGGTCAACACCCGGTGTCCTGGAGCAACTGCCACTGCATACCAGCCAGTTCTGGGCTTCCTCCCCTGTCCCCCGCGCTCAGATCTGCAAGTGACCCGTTAACATTTCTCACAATGACCATGGTGAAGCATCAGTGTGGGAAATTTAAAATGGTGGCTTCAAGCTATCTGCTGCTGTCATGTAAGCCTGCAACTATAGGCCCACGAACGTGAAAGGAAATTCACTAGTGGGTATTTTACTGGAATTTTATTAAAATCCTCAACCCTGGAACAGGTACTGAGGGCAGCTCTGCAAACGTGACTAGCTCCACTGCTGGTGACCCAGCCAGCAATAGGGCTCCACTGTCACACTGTGAAGAGAAGCGATAAGAATTGGGATGTAGGCCAAGTTTCCCTTTTGGGAAAAAGATCAAAGACGGGTTAAAGAATGGATAAGTTATTTAGAAAAAGAAACCCAGCATGCACTGAACTCCAAATCAAGGTTGGAGGTGGCTGCCTTTCTTGCCTGCCAACATCCTGAAGATTAGGAGGTGGGAGCTGCCTATGCTCCAGGCTGATAGAGGGAAACTGCACCTGAGCAAGCTCAGAGAAGGACGTGCTGCTTGCAAGATTAAGGACGCCTTGCCTTGAATTATGTGATTGTGGAATGAACTGACACAAGGTCATCCAGCTGAGCCTTGGGCTGCTAAGCAAGAAGCACTTTGGAGGCCAGGCAGGGTGGAAGGGTGTCTCTGCAAACTCACAGAAAGTGTGCAAAGAAGCACTGGGGAGGCTGAAAGGCAGGGACCCAAGCTGACTTTCATGTAATGATTTGAAAACCACCAGCCCAAAGATTGGGGCACGCTCTGCTGCCTCAATACAACAACCGGAAAGCATGTTTGGACTGCCCCACCCACTTACCTTTGCTGCTGATGGGCATACCTGTTTTATTCTTGAAGAAGGACTCAGGGGGTCTGGGCATATCAGGAATCACTTCATAGAGTGGTTTGAAGTATACAAACATGTCCTCCGAGGATTCATCCATGGGCACGGTGTTGATGACCTGCCAGAAAGTCCTAGAAGGGATTCCAGGTGGTACAAGACCTTTCACTGGGACCTAGTGAATGGTCTGGGAGCACCTGAAGCTGCAGCACTGTTGAAGCAAAGCAGGCCTAGGCCTGATCTAACTCCTAGATCATTAAAAGCACCAGTAAACCACCTTGATCTTTGTAAAGGAGCAGTGGGAGATCCAACTTTACTAAGTAAAAGTGCTGTTTGCTGCCAGAGGGGCACATTCTTTCTGCCCCATGACTGTGACCCACACAGAAGATGGCACTTTGAGCATATTTTCCTCACCCTTCCAATAATTAAGCAATTCCAGAATGGATTTTCAGCAAGTCAATCATGTGCCAGGAGAAGGAAATATCCATAAAATAAAATAGGAGGCAAAAGCAGTATGGTTCTGTAATCGCCGGACTAAGAAAGCTCCAACTTATGAGCAGTATTCTTAATTTTTATGATATACGAAATGTATTCACTGCTCTACACCCAGTAAAATATCAAATATCAAAGCAATGAACAATAAAAGGGAGAATCATAATCAGTGTTATCACTCCAAATATATCATAAGCTTTAAAAAATAGATTGTGGCAATAAAACACAAGAAAATGCCTAAATACAACTGTCCTTGGTTGGTGCCAAAAACAAAACAAGGGCCAGCTTGACCCAAACAGGCTGGGAATTCCACAGAGAAAGAAGGAATACATGCAAAGCTTTTCTCTAAGCAGAGTCCAAATGGTGTGCAAGTCCTACACAGAACCACCAGGAGTGCCTCACTGAATGACTTCAGTGGCTGAGCAGGCTAGTAAGGGAGAAAACATATTCTCAAATATCCTACGTCAAGCTTTTTAGGGGTTTATAAATGATGAACAGTTTTAGAAAAATTCTGAATCTTTTATGGATGTTTCACCCCATTTGCCACAAGGATGAAAATTAGAAGAGTGAGGGGAAGAAGTTGCAGAGGAAGGAATTCTCAAACAAATACATCTAAACACAAATCTGCCTGCCAAAATGCAAAAATATTTCCCTATTTGGGATTGTTTAATAGAACATTTCCATTCATGCATGCTGTTGTACTTAGAAGATTAAAAAACTAAATTCAGCCCAAGGCATAAATCATGAATTTGGCAATTTACCTCGTGCCAAGCTCTCTGAAAAAAAGCTAATTTTAGAATCAAAATTTCACTTTGAATCTCAAACATCTGACACATTCTAAATTGGTGAAAATACTCCTCCATTCCATTCACAACCGGTTGGAGGTTGAGAGCCAAGAGTGCTCAACCTCCGGACTCCCAGATATCCATTCAGACCTGAGCACTGAAATGCTTTCATTGCCATGCCTCCTCCCTACGTCCCTTGCCATGTGTTCCTCAGCAGGGTTCAGTGTTGTGCTCCGGCCTACCTACAATGATGCTTTTTACTGTAATGAGTTACCATGGCAACCCATCCAGTCAGCCCCACAGAACAGATTGGAATAAGAAGGGTGTTTCCCATTTCCTACCTTCTGGGCTGCCTTCTTCATCTCTGCAATATAAGCAGCCATGGCTTCCTTTTTGGTCATCTTTCCCAAGCTATTCCATGCATCCCTGCCAAACCACAAAAGTAATTCTCACCTGGGGAAGGTGCTTTATTTTTGAAAAAAGAAAACATGAAAGGGGAGGACCTGTGGACTTGGAGATCCTCCACAACCTAGCCATTATTCCTTCACTGGTTACAGTTACTGACCCATGGGTGAACAGCACTCTGTGCATGCTCTGAGTCACATTGCATTTAGCTTTAGAATATTAGTTTAGAATATTTACAGGACATTTTTCCATACAATCACAGCAGAAAACAACACAATAGGATAAAGTAATACAGTAAAAGCAACATTTTATTAGGTCAGATCTAGACTTAATCATGCTACAGAATTAGTCAAGTTTACAGTAGCGCCATTCATATCAATGGGACTTAAGTCTGTCAAAACTTACTGAAGTCATTCATTTCAACAGGTCTGCTTTAAGTATGATTAAGTATCGGTCCAACCTAATAAAGCAAAATAGCAAAAGATCATGGGGAAAACAGCTCAAAAACTACTAAGCATGATTCCAGACAAAGGGCACTCAGTGCTAACAGTGGGAAAGCATTATGCAGCCATGCCATATTTTTTTCCTTAACAGATTTCTTTGCTAAGGATGGAAGAAGCAGTGTGAAAACACTGAGTGGAAGATAACACTGTCTGGACCTCCCATAAAATTCCATGAATAAGGCATGGCACATTTCTTTTGAAAGCACCAAACATCCCCAGTCAGCATAGCCAATGACCATAGACTATGCAAGTTGTAGACTAAAAGATATGGAGGCAGCGGCTTGGTGAGGGCTAATATTGGGCTCTGTAGGTCAAAATCAACACCCTGAAGTGGCCTAGAAGCATGCTAGTGGGCAGTGCAATTGGAGCAGTTCTGCCTGTAGTTAAGTAGCGGCACTGTGAAGAAACATCCCAGTGCTGAACCCTGTTACAGAAAATACTTTCTGTAAGCTGCGGCTAAGTTCCAGCTGAGTCCTCTTAGTTTCAGGTAACTCTAACTAAAGGTAATGCTCCACCTGGTACTCAAAGAAGTTTGTCTTGGCTCTTCTTACCATTTATACCTGCCAATGGGATCCCAAAACCCTGGCCTGGGAGTCTGACACTGGCCCACCACTGCTTGCTTGTAGTAACTGTAAAAGCGTAGCATTTCTTCATACGATGGGCGGTAGGAACCTGAGAGAGGAGGAGGAAGCGATTAGAACTTCCTGCATGGAGTTGTGTGTGTATGTATGTGTGTATGTATCTGTGCATTTGTGGGCACATGTGTTTCTGCATCCTATTTTAAAAGTGCCTGACAGAAGAGGCTCACTCCTTCGGAAGCCATCCTTGAAAGAGATCAGGAGGGTGACCACCCAGAGGAGGGCCTTCTCTGTGGTGGCCCCCCAACTGTGGAATATGCTCCCCAGAGAGGTTTGCCTGGTGTCAACACTTCTTTCCTTTCGGCTCCAAGCGAAAGCCCTTTTATTCTCCCAATGTTTTAATTGTTCAATTGTTTCAATTTGTGGTTTTACACCGAATACTGGAAGCTGTGATATTTTTACTCTTTTATTTTTATTCTATTTTATCAATGTTGCAAACCATCCTGAGAAGTTTGTGATGGGATGGTATGGAAAAGTTTTAAATAAAATAAATAAATAAGCACACACCAAATCTGCTTTCCCTCATAGTAGAGCTTTGGAGAAAAGAAGATTTCAGTTAGTTAAGGCTGAGAAAGTTCAGCCTGCTATCACAGAATTTTTTATTCAATAAAATTTCACAAGGAAGATGTTGGACTATGGAATGAGAATCTTATGCAATGGCTTTCACCTGGTGCTTAGGAAGAGTTTGAAAGCCAGATGAGGCACACTGGAGGTGTGTTGCTCTGCATTTCAGCCAGTACACATAGCCATGTGTACTTTGGCTATGTCCCACCTGCCCACTTTGCCAAATTGGGTTGCATTCTACACATCTATGAGGGAATTGTACAAGCTGAGAACTCAGTATCAGGCCCAGAGTTCAAGCTTTAGAGAATGGCAGGCTTTGTGTTTGTTATCTTAAATTCCTTATGGCTTTTCAGACAAGCTTAGGGAGTTTGAGGAATCTTGTGTCATCTTGAGGTAGGCAAGGCAAGGACTTGAGAACATCCCAAATAGGTTTTCACCATTCTTGGGCAAACTCTGGATGACACGGACAGCTGCTTCAAATTGCTTCTGGTAGTCTGGCTCTTCTGCCTTCAACCCCATCATGCCAAGTCTGGAAGACAAACATTGACTGAAAGGTAAAGCTCTGGTGGAAAAGAAATGCAGAGATGTATTGAATTTGGGCTCCTGACAGGTGGCTTCACAAGTATTGGACAGAAAAGTGAGGAAACCCAAATAATGTTTCAACATTCTTACCCAGGGTCTTTTATGCTGTGGTGAATTATACAAACATCATTGCCCCAAATCCCTTTTCCTGGTTGATCATCATCATCATCATCATTAAAAAAAACAACAACAAGCTATCAACAATCACATAGCAACACTTGGTTTAGAATAGCTTGGGTTTATTTATCACTCAGAGATAAGAAAGTTAACCAACATTGTCATGTGAGTCCTTGTCAGAGGTACAATTTATTATCTTATGCATAAGGTACTTTGAGATAATGGGAAACCACCAGCCCAAGGGCCAGTTTGGCTCACTAGGCTAGATGTTGGCAAGACACCATACTTGAAGTCTAGTTTCTCATCTATTGTGGCCTTGGGATGGTAGGTGAAGAAGGAATTCACTGCAATCACTCATTCCTGATAGGAAATTTTGGTGGAGATTCCCTTCCTTTTCATACTGCTCCCTAATTTACTTCCTTTAGTTAGCATGCTGTTCTGCCTCCCAGCTGGGAAGCTGAGTGGCACATTAAATGCTTGGGCTGCTCTGAATTCTCCTCAGTTGGAGGGGGAGTGTGGGAAGCAACACTTCAGGCTGCTTCACCATGGGCCAGATTTCCTTTGGCAAGAAAATCTGAGGTGCAGTGAGGACGGCTTCCCTCCACCTGGCACTTGAGTTGGGAAGGCTTTGGTGTTAAGCTGTACACCCAGCCGGCACTTGCAGGGGCCAGCTAAGCCCCTCAGCATCAGCACTCAGCTGGCTCCTGTGAGCACTGTCTGAGTGGCTCAGTTTAGAAAGCAGGATAACTCCCGCTGAATGGTTCAGTGTGAGCTGTCATGAAACAATGGGTTGTTGCTGAAATGAGGGTTATGTTTATTTATTTAAAATATTTCTATGCTGTCCTATTCGCAAAAAGCCTCAGGACAGCTTACAGCATAACATGTTGCGTGAACCTGTTACACACATGGTTTAACACGAACAACTCATGAAGACAGCTCCTGGCTTCTTGCTGAGTTGTGAACTGTGGGTTGTTTGTGATTAACCAACCATGGCTTGTTATTGCAGTCAGGTCCATCAAACACAATAACCCACATTTCAATAGCAACTTAGTTTAACAACAACCTACACTCAACCCTTGAGTGTGATTTACTGTTGTCTGAACTCTGCCACAGTGTTTCACTCCTGCTTCTCCTTGCCCATGCATGCCATATTCCATCCATTCCATAAGAATGTCTGAGAGCCATCTGGACCCTAATCCAAATATAATTTCTGACTCTAGTTTTAAATAGACAGTTCTGAGCATTACCAGTTGAAAGTTGATGTGCTATTCAATCTTCCTTCAAGGATTTTCTTTGATAGGAAGAAAGGTGGACACCAGAGTGGGGAAACATGAAAGGGTTACAAGCAATGCCCATAATGTTATGAGAGAGTGTGTGTGTGTGTGTATGGACCACCCCCCCCCAATATATTATGGACATCATTTGGACCCCTCTGTAAAATTCTGCGAATGAAGCCTTGTCTGAAAGCATCCTCTCTTTAGTGTCCCCAAAGTGCAGTAACAGCATGAGAATATTGCCAAGAGAAATTTTAGACCTTTGCAGGATGATGGCCTCGAGGACATCCTACTGCCAAGGAACCTCTATCCTTGGCAGAATTCTCTCACCCAGTAGTGTGCTCCCTGGCTCAAGGGTTAGCCTTCCACCTAGGACACCAAGGGCCAGTTCCTCCATGAGGAATGAAGCCTTTTGGAATGGCCTTGGACAATTCAGTACCACTTGGGAGTTTACAGAGTGGTTTTAGAGCCAATGGCTGCTGGTTCGCACAGTGTCCCCAGTGCCAAGCAGATGTCCCTTGCTGGTCCTACCTGGGCAACCCATTTGCTGGTAGTCTGTATGGCCTTGTCCAATGGCCACCGTTTCTACCACCAATCCACCACAAAGCCCTTGTGGGTGCCCCTTGTCCTACTTCCTCACCAGCTACGTGGACATATCACAAGTGTTCCACTGCCCCCATTCTGATCTTTGTGGCCACACCAGAGGAAGCACAAATGTTCTTTTCATCTGTTGGTGGGGTAATGCTAGGTACTTAAAAGGTTTGGGACACAGGCTCACAGAACACAAATATGCACAGAAACTGAATATGCTAATACATATCTATAGAGACACATTACTAAGCTTGAAATTTCACAAGAACCAAAGTGAACCAACCCCTTATCTGAATATTCCAAATATACTAAATTCTTCTGCTAACTGCCCCTGACTCAAGGTCACCACAAACCAATAGGAAACATTGGAGGTGCTACAGTATATGGAAAGGGGAGAGCTGGCTTTCTCCTCCCTGGCTTCCTCCCTTGCAAATCGCCTCTTGCATGGCAATTAAGCCTTCTCCACTGGCAGAAACACAGGGCCAGTGGGAAATAAGTTCAGGGTTCAGAGGCACCCCCGTTGCCCCCTCAAGACCTATATCCCACTGCTTCCAGCATCTTTTATTCTTCTGCCAGCCTGGCAACTGCGATCTTCCACTGGTATCAGGTACCACGATGCCCGCTCCCCCAGCACAGCACTCTCTGATTTGGAACGTGCTCACCGCTGTCAGTCCTTCCCACAAGCCTCCCTTGCCCTGCCCGCAGGCCCTTAGGTTTTGCGCGTCTCGAGGCCGCGCTCTGCGGCTCCATATCTTGATATGTCTTCCCTTTGACCCTGAGGCAATATGGGTGCTCCAACCCTTGCCTCGGCCTTTCCTGGCCTGCCACAGAGATCCCTCTGCCTAGCGACGACATGCCTAAAATCCATCGTCCGTTTGGGCACTCTTGCTGCGCGAGATCCGGTTGTCCGTTTTCTAAAAGAGTTCTCATCCACCTGCATCATTTATTTCACGTTCTTTACGCAAGAAGCCCCTTCCAGGCCTACCTTGCACACAACACAGCTTGCACAGGGGTCCAATCACTAAGCTGCTCACTTGGGCATCAGCTTTAACCACCCCCTTGCTTAATCGTTTGCAGCCAGCGATTGTTCCACTTTTGACCTTCTAAGACCAGCCCGCAATGCCTGGATCAGCGGGACGCGCGCCTCAGCCAACCATCGCACCGCTTTAGGATCTATGCTTTGCGTCTCGACCAATCGACACCGAGCGATTACTCCCCCACCCGTTATTTTTGCTGCCGTCTATCATGTCCGTATTCTAGCACCGCCTTGAGGTAAATTATTTTCCTCGGCCGTCAAAATTCACGCTATAACCTTGGTATAAGACCGCCATCTTTCGGTAGAAAACAAAAATGGCACGCTAGTGCTTTTATTGATGTTACAATTCTTTAATTGGTTGCAGAGGTTAAGTTAAATGGGTGCGACAGAATCGCAGCCTATATTTAATACCAGGATTTATTTGAGGCAACATATCTTTTAGTACTGTATTACAGAAATCGGCTGTCTAATCCATTTACAGTTAATTGGAAGAGACTGCATGAAAAAGGGTTGATTTGAAGGCAATCTTCAGATTTAAAAATTGTGAATTTGTCCCAATGCACACCAAGCCTTCACCTGAACTGCTGAGGACATAGAGTGGGTAGGGAGATGGGACCATGCATTCTGCCCCAGCTCTCTGTGTTTTCAGGTACACTGGCTTCTCTTCTCACAAGCAATTCAGACCTTGTCATGCTGGATCTGCAAGGTCTGAAGAGGTGTTCTGCTCCATTCACTTGAATGTGAATAGAACTCTCTGTGCAATCAGAAACCCTACCTTATCAGGGTTGTGACTACATTTAGATTTAGGCATACTTAGAGCAGGCCTATTGAAATCAAGGGAACTAAAGTTAGTATAAGTTTATTGTTCTGTGCCATCAAGTCATCTCTGACCTATGGCAACCCTATAAATTAATGCCCTCTAAAATGTCCTGGCTTGGGCAGCATTGCCCTTGTAAACTCAGGGCTGTAGCTTCTTTTAGGGAATCAAGCCATCTCATAATTGTTCTGCCTCCTCTTCTTCTGCCTTTGATTTTCCCTAGATTGTTATCTTCTCCAGTGAGTCTTGCCTTCTCATAACATGCCCACACTACAATAGCCTCACTTTTGTCATTTTTGCTTCCAGGGAAAGTTCTGGTTTGATTTGTTCTAGGAGCCACTTGTTCTGTTGGTTCAGGGTAATTGCAAAGCACTTCTCCAGCACCATGTTTCAGTGTCATTAATTTTTTTTTCTTGTCAGCTTTCTTCGCTGTCCAGCCTTTACACACATACACAGTAATCTGGAATACAATAGTGTGGATGATCTTTTTCTTGGTCATGGTTTCCAGTGAAACATTGTTAGACTTCTTGATAGTTTCTAGTTCTTTCACTGCTGCCCTTCCAAGTCTCAGTCAACTTCTAATCTCTTGGCTACAGTCTCCTTTTAAATTGATGATGGATCCAAGGAATTAAAAATCTTTCACAATTTCAATTTCTTAATAGTTGATCTTAGAGCTGTGCAATTTTTCTGTAATCATGATTTTCCCCCTTAATGTTCAGCTGGAGTCTTGTTTTTGCATGTTTTTGTTTCACTTTCATTAGGAATCATTTCAATTCATTGCCACTTTCTGCTAATAACATGATGCCATCTGTGTGTCTTAGATTATTAATTCTATCAATTTTAACTTCTTCTTCTGATCTGAATCCAGATTTCCTCATGATAAGTTCTGTGTACAGACTGAACAGATAGGAAGATGAAATACACCCTTGTCTAATGTCTCTGCTTATAGGAAACATTCTGTTCTCCCATATTCTGTCCTAACAGTAGTTTCGTGTTCATGGAAGAGAGGATGACCAATCTGCTGACCAAATTTACAGACGATACTAAAATGGGGTGGTGGCTACAACTGAGGTGCACGTAGTTTGGATCCAGAAGGATCTGGACAGACTGTGGAAGTGGGCAGGGGACAACAGGATGGAGTTCAATGTGGATGAGTGTGAGGTCTTGCACTTGAGGCATAGGAATGGGTGTCATAAGTACAGGTTAGGGGACAAGTGAATGGAGAGCAGCAGAAAGGTATCTTGGGGTACTGGTCAACTGCAGGCAATACATGAGTCAGCAGTGAGATGTGGCGGTCAAGAGGGCAAACTCCACCCTTGGTTGCATAGCCAGAAGCGTAGCTTCTAGACTGAGGCAGGTATTAGTGCCACTTTGTACTACTCTGGTGCACCCACAACTGGAGTATTATGTTCATTTGTGGGCTCCACATTACAGGAAGGATATAGCCAGGTTGGAATTGGTGCAGAATAGGGCCACAAGCATGGTGGCCGGATTGCAGCAAAGCCATATGAGGCGAGACTGAGGGAACTGGGTCTTTTCAGCCTGCAGAAGAGGAGATTCAGAGGGCATCTGTTGGTGACATATAGGTATGTGAGGGGGTGTCATGAGGGGCTGGGTCAAGACCTGTTTTCCCCTGCGGATGCAGGATGAGTTCCAATGGAGCAAAGCTCAGGCAACCAAGGTTCAATTTGGATGCCAGGAAGTACTTCCTGATAGTTAGGACCCCTAGAGAATGGAATGGGCTTCCACAAAAGGTGGTTGAAGCCCCATCAGTGAGGGTGTTCAAGGACAGGCTGGACATGTACATGGTAGGCAAGTCATGAGAAAAGCTGGCTGGAGCCAGGGGTCAGACTAGATGGCCCAGGAGACCTCTTCTGACTTGCTTTGTTTGTATGTTTCTGTGATACAGGTTATGCATCAGGACAACCAAGTTCTGAAGCACAGCCATTTCTTTCAGAACCAGCTATAACTTCCCATGATCCACATAGTCAAAGGCTTTGTGGTGGTGTATTAAAAAAGAGATCAATCTTCTTTTAAAATTATTTGGTGTAGTCCTGTTGTCAAGATATATTTACAATATGATCTCAAGTGCCCCTTCCTTTTTGGAATCCTGTCCAAACATCAAGTATTTCTAAGTCCATATAACGTAAAATTCTTAATTGCAACACCTTGAGCATTACCTTGCTTACATGAGAAATTAGTGCAATAGTCTTGTAGTTGTTGCATTCTTCTGCCTCTCCTTTCCTGGAGATTGGAATGTATATTGAACATTTCCAGCCTGTGGGTCATTGTTTTGTTTTCCATATTTGCTGGCATATTTTTGTTAGGATTTGGTCCTTAGATTGATTCAGTCTCTGCAGCTTGCAAAAGTTCCATTCATACCCTATGTAAGCTGGGTGCTTTATTCCTTCCAAGTATTTTCAGAGCAGCTTTCACTTCACTTTCTGGTATTGCAGGGGGTTATTCATTTGTTGTTGTTGTTAGTTGCGAAGTCGTGTCCGACCCATCGCAACTCCATGGACAACATTCCTCCAGGCCTTCCTGTCTTCCACCATCCCTCGGAGTCCACCCAAGCTCACACCCACTGCCCCAGTGACTCCATCTAGCCACCTCATCCTCTGCCATCCCCTTCTCCTTTTGCCATCTATTGTTCCCAGCATTAGACTCTTCTCCAGAGAGTCCGTCCTTCTCATTAGGTGTCCAAAGTATTTGAGTTTCATCTTCAGTATCTGGCCTTCTAAAGAGCAGTCGGGGTTGATCTCCTCTAGGACTGACTGGTTTGATCGCCTTGCAGTCCAAGGGACTCGCAGGAGTCTTCTCCAGCACCACAATTCAAAGGCCTGAATTCTTCAGCACTCAGCCTTCCTTATGGTCCAACTTTCACAGCCATACATTGCTACTGGGAAAACCATAGCCTTGACTATACGCACTTTTGTTGGCAGGGTGATGTCTCTGCTTTTTAGTATGCTGTATTCATATTTAGTATTCATAGGATCCCTCTTAGAAGAAGTGTGCTAACATTTTATTTCTTATCTACACTTCTCACATATTCATCTTTTCCTTATTTTATCTTAGTGAGAGATTATGTTCTCCTATTGGTCTTTCAGCATTCCTAGGCTATGTTTTTGAATTTCCTTTTCAATTCTTGGAACGCCTGGAAAAGGTCTCTTGATTTTTCTCTTTTGTTGTTTCTTTTGTCATCCATCTAGTAGTCCTTTGCAGCTGATTTATATCCTTTACAGCTATGCATGTTACAAGAAAATATTAATAGTAATAATACTGCGACCTCCCCTGCTGAACTGTGCTGCCAAATTCCCGTTAGCTCTACCTGTTCACTTGCTCTGATTATGTGCTCTCTGGGGGCTTGCTTGTACTTCCCCTAGACCAGCTGGAGCAGCTTCCTCTCCTCTGCTCAGTTAGGAGCCAGGAAACAGAATGGTGACTAGAGAGATTTCTCAAATGAGTAAACTTAATTAATATACTTAAAATAAATGTTTTGCCATGGCTAATTGGCGTATTTCCAGAATTCCAGATGACAGATAAAGGAGCATGTATGGTATTAAGAACTCAGAGCAGCTGTAGCAGGGCTTGTTAACTGTCTTAAAAATGTAGGGGGGTCATGGGAACATAAAAGTTCTTGACTTTATACTAATGCTCACAGTATGAGAAATAAACTCAAAAGGATGAGTTTGAACTCTTGATTCAAGAAAATAAATAAAATGTAATAGGTGTAAGTGAAACTTGGTGGAATGACTCCACTTCCAGAAGTAGAATATAGCAAATGAAGGCTGTATTCATTTTCTCATGCTAAATTGCCTCTATGGAGAAACCCAGATTTAAAAATTGGCAAGATAAGGTTTTTGAGGGAGAATGGGGTGGATAAACTGACTTTTGATAATACTTAATAGTTGCTTCTCTTGGAGGAGGAGGTTACTGTATGGATAAACTTTGTATTGGAACACTTTTAAATATTGAATGATGTACATGCATTAACCATTACTGTAATATATTCAGGGTGACTAATTTTAATAACAAAGTGGCTGTATTCTTATACCAACTGCTGTTTCTGGGCAATCCTCAAAGTGAGTCCTATATACAAAACATTACATTAGTCAGGCACAGATACACCAAGGGACTGATAGCAGTGACCAGGCTATTTCTGTTTAGGAAAGGCCAAAAATGGCACACTGCTCTGCTAAAAGACCTTTGGGCCAGCAGTGTTAAAACTGCATCTAGGTGT